ATATTCTTAAGAACTACATAAGAAGAATTATAGAGTGCAATAAAAATTACGAGATGTTTATTCGTTACATTCTACGAATAGAAAAGCATAAAAATTAAATTGCTCAATCATCTCTAACCACAGATCCATCACCGATCAAGTGGTTTATTTTTTCATCAGGATGCTCAAAAAAATCTGCCACATCCAAGTGGGTGATGTCAAATTCATTATCATAGACAAGATTGGCTTCAAAGCCTTTATTCTTCAGAGATGCTTGATAAAGCTCAACCAAATGTTTTGGTATGCGACAAATTTTTGCCCAATGCCCTTTTCCACCGCAACGATAGCATTTAGTTTCTGAACCCTCTGCATTTCGCTTCTCATCTTTACCTTTCCATTTTTGGAAGTTATTTTTCGGTGGAGGATGATTAACACCAGGAAAATTTCTTCCATGGACATGGCCGCGACCACGACCACGAATATGGCCACGACCTTTTCCACGATTAGCATAATGGGAATACACCTCATCCTCTTTAGGCAATGGTGTAGACCCAGTGGGTCGATTTTCATGATTTCTCATAAGCAATTCATTGTTTCGTTCAGCCACAAGTAGAAGAGAAATCAACTGAGAGTACTTTGTGAAGCCTTTCTCTCGGTACTGCTGTTGTAAGACCATATTGGAAGCATGAAACGTTGTAAACGTTTTTCAAGCATATCATAGTCACTGATATTATCTCCACAGAGTTTCAATCTAGAAGTAATTCTAAACATAGCAGAATTATATTCAGAAATAGACTTAAAGTCTTGGAGCCTAAGATAAGCCCAATCATATCGTGCTTGTGGAAGAGTGACCAACTTTAAGTTGTCATATCTTTCCTTTAAACCATTCCACAAAATAAATGGATCTTTCACTGTGAGATATTCAATTTTCAATCCTTCATCAAGGTGATGGCGCAAGAAAATCAAGGCCTTAGCATAGTCTTGTGTAGATGCTTTATCTTTATCTTTAATGGCGTCTCCAAGACCCATTGCATCTAAATGGATTTCAGCATCTAATACCCATGTCATATAGTTCTTGCCCGAAATTTCAAGGGCAACGAACTTTCTTTTCATAATATCAGACATTTAAAAAAAAATACAAATTTGAGAAAAATTATACCTTAAGTTTCTCAAAGATCTTCTTGAGATGGTAGAGTCTCGTGCTGATAACGCGTTATAAAATATAACCCAAAATAACAATATAGAACAAGCAAAACAAACTAAGAAATATAGATAGAAAGAGAGGAAGAAAGATTCTTATTTCTTCTTCAATTGTGTGTATTTTCTTATCTATTACAAGGCCTTTATATAGGCATAAAAAGTGAAGAAAATATGTCATGGAATATGTCATTGAACATACAAAATATGTCATTGAATATGTCATTAAGCATTTGAGATGAAGATCATGGAGGAAGAGTAGACATCCACCATAATGTGATATTTATCATAACATCTACGATTTAATTTAGACCACAAATTTTTTTTAAAAATTAATTTTTCTTAAAATTTGTGCCGAGTCAAAGGCCGCCATATAAAATGGGATGGAGGGATTATAAATTAAATTCTGATTTACCCACCCACCCTCTGAAAGAAAGGGCCAAAACAGCAGTAACATCTTCAAGAGTATTCCTTTTTTCCGTTTGGCTTTATTGTCCACCATCTTTATATGCTTGTCTCCTGCCCCTTCTTTCTACTACTATATGCATTCAGCTTTTTTTCTGCCCATAAAAATGGAAACTTAAAGATTGCCATTTTATTCCTTTTCAAAAAATACCCTTTCACATGATTATTATTTATCCCTTCTTTTTATTAAGTACCCCCCCCCCCTCTGTCTAGCTACCAAATAGGGTTAATTCTACTTAATATCTTACTTCATCTTAGCTACATTCAGTACCAAACCCTAGAAAAAGTTTGAACTCTCTGTATATTCTCAAATATTGAACTGAACGAAAAGATAGTTTTTACTCCACGAGATCCAAAAGCTTGACTTTCAGCTGTCAATCACAATAATCGAGTCAAAATATAAATATGCGTTGAAAGTTAAAAAGGAAAATAATTTGGGCAGGGAAAAGAAAGGTTTGACCGAAGAGTTCGAGAACATTGGCACGGAAACTCGAGGTATAAAACTTCCCTTCTCATTCTTTTTTTATTTTTATTTTTTAAGTTCCATTCGTTTTACCAAGTTTTTCTTGGTTATAATTAAAAAAATCGAAATTTTGACCAAGAGGTCACTTGTGTTATGTATTTCAACGAACGAAACGTCCCAAGCAATATGTGATTAATTAGATTGCTAAAATAACATCGTAATGAGTGATACAATAGGGTTTAAGAAATATGAAGCTCTTCCTTTCATATCGTCTCGGGATCCAATAATTCCCATAATAACCACCCTAAATTCCTTATAAGTAATATGAGTATTATACTCCCTCCGTCCCATTTTAACTGTAATATTTATCCAAAATAATTATTATTTTATTAAATTTGTTACTTGTTTCCAACTATACTCTTGATATTAATGAAGTAATTGGCGTGAAAAGAGCTAAAATGTCAGTTAAAATGGGACATAGAGAATATTATTTAATTTTGTTTATTCTTAAGCACCTTATTTATTTATTCACACTTAAACCTATTATATGCATGTATACTTTAGGTTGGTTTCTGGTTAGTAGAGAGTTCGAGATTATATGGAGAAAATTGCTTTTATATTAATGTAGAGATGTATATTTACTTCTTCTTTTTTTGAAAGAGGGGAATATTTACTTATTTAGTTCTAACTTTCTATCTCTGCTGCTCCTGTCTTCTTCACCCCCCTAATCTTTTTCAGCCATACAATAAATACAGTATAACGTTTTTGTAGGGATACTTTCTCTTTCCTTTGGTTGAATTGCAGCAGCCAGATCGTGAAAGGGATAAGAAAAACAAAGCAGGTATATTATTTTCCTCCTCTTGGTTTGTACATTTCGTTTTCTCTCTTTCGGACATAGAGAAGTTAGAAATATAAGAGAAGGGGGTTAACTTGTGTCAAGATTCAAGAATATGTCGCAGTACATCAAGGAAACAATTAATTAGTCCTAATAAAGGCTCTTTAGGATGTTCAAACATACTTTATAAAGCTTTCTTCAAACTCTTCACAAAATTTCTGAGAAAATATATAATCAATAATTCCAATTGTGAAACTGTTAGTTACTTCAGGGGCAACCCGGTGAACTAAGTATCCCGCATTCACGCAGGGTCCGGGAAAGGCTGCATCGCAATTGTGTGATATAGACAGTCTACTCTAATACAAGCATCAATAGCTGCTTTTATAGTTCGAATTCGTGATCTATAGATCACACAGAGACAAATTTACTATTATTCCAAGGCTCCCCTTTAAATTGTTAATAGTTACTTCAATGTTCTATTTAAAAAGTTACAACTTTTCTTATTTCAAAATTCTCTAATTTTAAAGTTTCTCAATTTACCTTTAATGACTTATTTTTATACAATTTTAATAAATGAATGGCATGTTAAATAATTGATTAAGAACATAAGTTCTAAGTGTAGTGAAGGTGTGCGTCAAAATCTTTTTTTCCCCTTTGTTATTCAACTCTATGCTCAATCAAACATCGTCATATAAAATGCAATGAACGAAGTCGTACTTAGGCTTATTTATGAAGCATCACTCATACTTCACTTCTAAATGATCCTATTTATGTTGTTATTTCCAGGTACTAAAGAGAAAACAAAGAAACAAAAGAAAAGAAGTGTTTGTGCAAAGTAGCTAATACTTGTCAATTATGGCTTCATCTTCTTCATCTTCATTGTCATCCTACTCACCATGTGCAGCATGTAAATTCCTACGTCGAAAATGCCAGCCAGAATGCGTGTTTGCCCCTTACTTCCCACCAGATCAACCCCAGAAATTTGCAAATGTTCACAAAATATTTGGAGCCAGCAATGTGACAAAGCTGCTCAATGAATTGCAGCCTCACCAAAGGGAAGATGCTGTCAACTCTCTCGCTTATGAAGCGGACATGCGCCTCCGCGACCCCGTCTATGGTTGCGTTGGCGTCATTTCGCTTCTTCAACATCAGCTTCGACAGCTCCAACTTGATCTTAGCTGTGCCAAATCCGAGCTTTCCAAATACCAGAACTTAGGAGGTATTCAGTCGTCTGACTACTTTATCTAAATGTTTAAGCTGTTAAACAGACACAATTTTATTTACTTAATTTACATCATCACCACAAGGGGAGCGTTGACGTAACTGGTAAAATTATTGTCATGTGATCAAGAGGTCACAGAATCGAACCGCGGAAACATCCATTGTAGAAATGCAGGGTAAGACCATTGTGGTCCGGACTTTCCTCGGCCCTCGCGCATAACGAGAGCTTAGTGCCAATGACGGAAACAGAATTTCCGCTAAAGGGGTTCAAAAATAAAAAAATTAAAAAATTAAAAAAAATTGCGGCCAATAGGAATTGAACTAGTGGTCTCACAAAGTTTTTGAACCCCTTTGATCACTAAACTATGCTTTTGAGTTGTGTCAAGGGAATTTAAAACATAATATATAGAGGTAAGCAACAGTTATTTTTGGCGAAGGGGGTTCGAGTAAATCCCCTTCCGCGCCCTTAAATCCGCCCCTGCTTAGTGCACCGAATTGCCCTCTCAATTTACATCAACAACACGCTTCTTCATGTGCGGGCCTAATATTTCAATAATGAAAATTGAATTGTGTGACCATCAATTATTAGTTTAAAATTTAAGTAAAGGTAATAAAATTTTATTTTGTTTAATTTATTTTATTCAACAGGAGGCATTGCTAGTACGAACAGTTATGGCCTCTTGGCAGCAGGCAATCAGCATAATTTGGGGTTCAATTTTATGGGAGGAGGAGGAGGGGGTGGGAGGCCAGACCATAACCACCACCTCTATCACCATCAATTTTTCCCTAGAGATCAGCAACAACAACAACAAATTATACGAAGATTTGAAGGAGGAAGTAATAATTTTGGAGTTTGACTTCAATACACTGAGAAATTATTTGTTTAAAGGCAAAATTATGTTGAGATTATATATACAGATTGTAATATTGAGATTAATAATTCCTGAATTATTCAGTACGTATTATCATCTGTTTAGTTCATTATAGTGATAAAAATAGATTATACAGTGTACAAGATTCTAAAACATATGTTTGCTTTTAAATTGAATAAATTTTTGTTTCAAACTTTAACCTTGACCTTCATAACAGAAAGGGTGGCAGAAGGAGAATTTTGAAATTTTACTTATTTGGTTAGGTTTAAGCTAATTCTTGAATTGTTATTCTACATTGGATATGGTATAAAATTATACCGGTATTACTTATATCGAAAATGAAAAACCACCCAAATTACAAAGCATAAGATAATCTTGTTAAATTTAGATTTAAAAGATTATGTTCATAATCACGATAACCAAATGAGCTCATGTAAAAACATCTTTATACTATTATATTACCTCTAAGATAACTAAAAATAACTGGTCGTAAACAAACTAGATATAATAATGTGAAGAAAATAGTTACCATTATACTGGGGAAAGCAAGCGATAGCAAAAATAGCATGACTGATAGGGAACCCTTTGAAAGCAGACAAAGCAACTATTATGAAGGAGAGAATGACATATGCAAGAGTACTAGTGGAAGTACCAATCAACAAGGTATTCCCAGACATAATAATGTTTGAAAACGAGCATGGTCACATTGTGGAACAAGAGGTGGAGAGTGAATGGAAGCCAATACTATACACTAAGTGCAAAAATTATGGACATGAGCTGAAGGAATGCAGGAAATATATAAGGGAAGAGATAAGTAATAAAGCCCAAGAAAGGAAAGAAGAAGTGCAACAGGGAGAAGAGAAGGCTAACAAAGACGAACAACCATAAACTAACAAAGAAGTTGACAAGGGTACAGACATAGAAAAGAAGTTTCAACAAAGGCAGGGAAGCAAGTGATGGGGAAACAAAGATAGGATAACTTCTACTACAGAAGAGATAATGCAAGGAGAGGGATAGTGATCAGAGAACCTCAAATTAATATTGGAAACTCATTTGCAGCATTAGGTGATCAGAGCAACAGGAATGAAGGGATAGCTAAACCTTCCTGCCCTGGAGGAGGTGAAGCTGAGGGGGGGCCTGGACATGGGAATGGTGGGGGAAACCCCAACCCTAATGGATATCATTAGTTTTTGGAATGCCAAAGGCCTAAACAAGCCAGATAAGCAGAAAAAAATGAACCTGTTTATCCACAACTTGAGAGTTTTCTTGTTTGGGTTTCTGGAAATAAAGATAAAAAGAGCTAAGGCACATAAAGCATTTTTTATCTTTGTCAAGGCTGGTCGTTTATAACAAATCTAGACAAACATACAGGAGGTAGGATTTGGATGGTGTGGAAACCTCAGTTATATGAGGTAGATATCAAAGAATTCACTGAACAAATGATTCACATCACAGTAAAGCACAGGGGGAATGGACTGAGATTTAATGTTACTCTGGTATATGGCTTCAATGAACAAGCAGCAAGGAGGAAACTATGGGATGACAATAATCATATAGGGGTCAAAATGGATGGACCATGGGCTATGATGGGAGACTTTAACTGTGTATTAAGCAAGGAGGAAAGAATTGGAAGCAAGGTAACTATGGTTGAAACTGGAGATTTTAGACAATGTATAGAAGTTTGTGGTCTGAAGGAGCTGAGATCCTCAGGAGCTTTATTCACATAGAACAACAAACAAGGAGGAGATAGTCGAGTGTACAGCAGGATAGATCGAGTGTTGGTTAACACTGAATGGGTGACTGACTTACCTGCATCAGAGGTGCATTTCATGAATGAGGGCATCTATGATCACTGCCCAGCAATCATAAACTGGGAAGGAAGGAATGCATGGGGAAAAAGACAGTTCAGATACTTCAACATGTAGAGTGTGACTCCAGAATTCCAAACAAGAGTACAAGAAGCTTGGGAGAAGGAAATACAAGGCACACAGATGTACAAATTGGTAGGAAAGCTGAACAGAACCAAAAGTGTACTGAAAAGATTGAACAAGGAAAGATTTTTTCAGTTGTGGAAAAAATGGTTGAAACAACAATGGTCAACCTGACAGAATGTCAAGAAAAGATCCAAAAAGATCCAAAGAATGCTGAATTAATTGAAGATGAAGTCAGATTGATGAAAGAAAGTATCAAATGGAAGGTTGCTAAAGAGCAATTTTTGAGACAAAAAAGTAAGATACAATAGATGAGGCAGGAGGATCAAAACACAAAATACTTCCATAGTGTAATAAAAGCCAGAAGAAATACAAATAGGATTTTCTCTATTAAAGATGTTGAAGGGAAGGAGATAACAAATGTTGAAGGGATAGTAGATGCTTTTATAAATTTTTAAACAAAACAATAATAGCTGAGAACCAAAGTGCATTTGTGGAAGGCGTAAAATAATATTCAGGATTATTCACTGGAAGCGTAATGGAGTTCTTCAACACTGCAAAAATGCTCAGGATTATCAACAAAACAATCCTAACTCTCATCCCAAAAAACAACCATGCAGCTGAAGTAGGAGACTATAGACCCATTGTATGTTGCAATACAGTCTATAAAATAATATCAAAGGTGCTGTGTAACATGCTAAAAGGTGTACTACCTTCAATAATAGCTGAGAACCAAAGTGCATTTGTGGAAGGCGGAAGTATAGTGCAAAACATACTGATATGTCAAGACCTGGTGAAACTGTATAACAGGAAAAAATCAACAAGTAGCTATTTGATTAAAATTGATCTAAAAAAAGCATATGACTCTGTGGAATGGGAATTTGTGAAAGAAATGTTACATGCACTGAACTTTCCTCCCAAATTCATCAAATGGACTATGGTATGCATATCAACAACCCAGTACTCAATTGCTTTAAAAGGAGGACTTTATGGATGTATTGAGGGGAGAAGGGGCTAACGACAGGGAGATCCTATATCACCTCTCCTTTTTGTAATATATATGGAGTACTTCACAAAAATAATGCAATGGGTATCCACATTAGATGGATTTGCATTTCACACAAAATGCAAAGGTTTGAAGCTAAATCACATATGCTTTGCAGATGATGTTTTGATGTTCTGTAAAGGTGAGTATCGAAGTATAATGCTTATGTTGATAAATTTGCAAACATTCTCTGATGCATCTGGGCTGAGCACTAATGCTGGAAAATCTAATGTATATAGTGCAAACATGGATAGACAATGTTTAGAAGGTATATATGAAATAACTTGGTACAAACAGGGGGAGTTACCATTCAAATACTTAGGGGTGCCAATAGCTGCAAGGAAGCTGAATGAAGGAGACTGTGAAATGTTGGTGGACAAACTTAGTACAAGAATCCATTCATGGGGATCGAAAAACTTATCATATGCAGGAAGGGTCCAATTGATCAACTCAGTGCTAATAAACATTCATTCATATTGGGCAGTAATATTCATCCTACCAAAGAAAGTTCTTAAAGACATTACTGCAATGTGTAGAAACTATATATGGGCTGGAAAAGGCATATCAAATAAGGTGCCATTAGTTGCATGGGACCTTGTTTGTAGACCAAAAAGAGAAGGAGGACTGGGAATAAGGGAGTGCATAATATAGAATGAAGCTGCTATAGCTAAGTATGTATGGCACATTGCAAATTAAGAAGATAAGCTATGGGTCAAATGGATTAACTATATATATATATGAAAAGAAACAACTGGTGGCAATATAATCCCCCACAATACAGCTGCTGGTATTGGAGGAAAATATGTTCTATTCGCGATACATATGTTGCAGGTTACACAGAAAATGAATGGCAAACAAAAACAGAAAAATACACAATTAAGAGTAGCTACCACTGGAGAAGAGTAAGACTGGAACAATGGGCTTGGAGTAGAGAGGTGTGGAATAAAATGAACATTTCTAAACAGTGTTTCATCTGCTGGCTTGCAATGCAAAGGAAACTGGTGACAAAAGACAGAACATTGAGAATGAAAATTACAGAGGATAGTGATTGTATGCTATGTGAAGGAAAAACAAAATCAATTGACCACCTATTCTTTGAATGCACATTCTATAAGATGTGATTAGCTGAAGTATTCAAATGGATAGTTATGAACATTAAGAACACAGAGGTAACATGGACATGGAGAAGGATGACAAGAATAGCACAAGGAAAAATAGGGAGATCATTCACATTGGCAGTGTTGGCAGCAGTTATCTATCACGTATGGAAAGCTAGAAATGAAGCAGTTTGGATGAAAAAAGTGCCAAGACCACAAGCAGTACTGGAACAGATACAATATACATGCAAATATAGGTGCATGGAAGCTGTACAGAAGAAGGCTGGATTGAGGAACTATATAGGTAAATAGAAATGAAATGTATAGAAACATACAGATAGATAGGAAATATAGCTGAGATAGAGGAAAGTCAGAAAGGATAGAGGAAGAAATGATGAGAAATATGTATGTGTTGGTTTGGGATGATTGAATAAAGATTTATTTTCCACCAAAAAAAAAGAGGCGTATCTAGGTCAAGGGATATGAGTTCACATGAACCCATACTCTTTTCTCTAGATACGCCTCTTTTTATATGCGTGCACCTATTCTCAAACACTCCTATGGTGCAATTATTATTGAGTGCACTTTTACAATTGAAATTTGCGGTNTATATATATATATATATATATATATATATATATATATATATATATATATATATATATATAATTACTAAAATTACAAAAAGAATATTATTTTGAACTTATAATTTCAAAAGTGTAGTGAGTTTATGGTAAGAGACTAAAATTAAACCCGTCAAATATTAATTCTAGATCAACCTCTTCACAACAGTGTACTCATCCTCTTGAAATCATGAATTCGTCTCCGATAAACTATAATAATATATAGTTTGCATTGGCTTATATAGTTGGTTGATAACACGTGTGACTCAGTGCATCAAAGACATCCAAAAAAGTGAAGCAAAGATACGTCACAACCCTAAAGTTTAGGGATTACACAGATTCGATGTGTTGAGTTTGGGGCAGAGAGTGGGATAGTGACGG